CGTGTCAGCACGCGGCAGTCGTTCTCAACAGCCTATAGATCCCCCCGTGACCAGGTGGGAGTGGCGTTCGGGGGGGAGGGGTCCAGGAACAACACAGATACTTAAGCACAGAATAGGCACCCCATGGGAGTCTCAAACAGGCAATGCCAAGAGTACACAGCCCACCGGCCATGCGGTCAGCCCCTGCAGGGGTGGTAGGGGGGAGGGCTTTAGGGAGGTTAGAAAAAGGTTTCCCCTCGTGCCACCCTTGAGGCATCGTGCACATGGCCTGCAGCAGGTGCAAGCAATTACAACGTGTCGGCATTTCGGTACGGAAACCGCAGCCCGCCACGCAGATGCACAACCATTCCCATCAGCCCCTACCACATCCTCTGGTTAGGGCTAGAATGTAGGGTACCTGCGGGCCAGCATCCCCAACTGCAAACACCTCGGCCAGCATTGCAAGTGCCTGCCGCAGCACGGCCAGGTATTCCCAGGCTCCCAGCATACTCGTCCGCATACCCCCTCACAAGCCCCCCCATATACCCCATCGCTAAAACCCTCCCTCCCTTCATACCCCTCCCCTCCCCTCCTCGCCTTACCACGCAACCTCCATCCCATCCTCAGCCTCTCTTCCCCTCCATCCTTCCTCTCCCTTCCCTCCCTCTCCTCCCGCCCGCTTCACCCACCCGTCCCTTGCTCCCTCTATCCCCAGTTCTTCCTCCTCATTATCTCCTATACTGTTGAATCAAATATATCCCCTCCACTCCCCTCAGGTTTCCCTCCGGCTCAAGCGTAACCTTCTTTCTCATCACCTGTTATGTCTTCTCTATCCCGATTTCCAACCCCATGCCCTCTGCAAAACCCGCCTCAACTGCCTCGTCGATCCCGTTACGACGCCCAATCCTTCCCCACACCCCCCCATGCCCCCTTCCTCATTACCATCTCCCTCCTTCCCCACATTCTCATTCCACATCCACCTCTCCCCGATCGCACCACCACCCATCACCATCACCACCACCAGCACAAGCTCCTCCTCATCTCCGTTGCCATACAAACCTCTGTAATCCTATGCCGCACACTCCTCCTCGCACTCCAACTCCGGACACTCCTTCCCGCGCTCCTCCTCATACCCCACCACAAACCTCGCGCATAGCAGTCTCGTATATGGGGCCACCCCCATAATCGCGCGCCACTGCCCGGATCGCCGCCATCTGCACATTCCGCCTAACGATGCACTCCGTCACGTTCTGCCAGTTTGTCCCACGAGCTGGCAGCTTCACAAACGTCTTGTGACTGTGCTCGTATCTGTTGGAGGAGTAGTGGAATGGCATCCCGCGAGCCCGAATGGTATCGTGAAGGTGCACAAGATCATGCACCTTGATGAGCTGCCAACGGGACCGCTGATTAGGAAAGGTGTCCTCCAACGTGTGCATCAGCCTGAACAAACCAATCGGACATCCGGGTAGAAGGGAGAGGGGGAGGGAGGGAAAGTCAAAACGGTCCACCATTGCTAGCACAACATGAAACTAGATCCGTAGTTGCCACTCACTCAGGTGTGCTGCGCTGCATGACCTGTAGAGTCGCATCTGTGTGTGACTCCACACGTATACTTGCCTTGTACCACTCCGTCCACCTCACCACGGCCCTGGCAATGTCCTCCCTGCTTGGGAGGTGCACAATCAGGGGCATGATCTGCATCATGTCCCTATGCTCTGACGCAGAGAAACCCGCGGTAGTTGAGAAATAGGTGGCCGCAGAGGGGGTTCTTAGAGTTGAAGGGGGGGTCTCTTCACGCAGTTGAACGTACCACCTGACGCGGACAAAGGAAAATACCCAAAGCATGATACACAGCCTTACCAGTTAAGCACTGTTATAGACAACCAACAACAGCGCGAAGAGCCTAGAAGAGCATGCTTACTCCTGCAGCAACTCCTTCTCGCGCTTGGTTAGGAGCCCGCCAATGCACTTCATGTGAGTGCTCGGGGGCATGGGGCTGTGGCCTGGTATCACACCCCCCCCCCCTTTCTTTCTCCCCCCTTCAATGTAAATGGCGTGGGGTTCCGCATTCCCACCCCGGCCCCCTTTCAGCTTCCCTGCTATGGCCATCCCTTAGGCTGCACTACCCATGACATGCTTTGTTTTCTGGTTGTCCTGTAGTCGTGGGTACTCCCAGGCGCCTGGTTCCCGCATGTGGTGATGCTCAAATGATCGCACCTGTCTGTGGCCCGTTCATTGCTGGCGATACCAACCTGATACTCCTCCTGGCCTATCTTTTCCATGCTGTGAGCAATAGTTTCCCTTTGACACGAATCATATATGTTCCTTGTTTGATTCTCGGCATTGTAGAGCAGCGTCAGGGCCAACTGGTCTCAACATGGAGCACGGAGACCGGGTCTGCGGATCCGTTCACCAACGGCCTTTTCTTCGAGGCGTGCAGGGCGGGCTTCCCCCGCTGGGTGCGCCGCGGGCGCCTCACCCTGAAGCCGTACCACCTAGCATGGGTCCTTTTCTGCGTGAGTGTCCCCCCACACCCCCCCCCCCCCCCCTCCCCTCACCGCCCCCCTCCATTTATGCCGCTCCCCCTTCCGCTTGCGTGCCCCAATCGTTGCGTTGACTGAAGCCACCCCCATTAAGCTTGTGTGTCTGCAGGTGGACTTTGGCCTGCACAACCAAGAGTGCTGCAACATGAACCTTTCTGCATCGTGTGTCAAGAACAAGAGGTTTCTCTCGACTCTGCATCGTCGAGTGTGGCAGATGGTTGAGCGGGCCCTTATAGCTGGCCGGCACCCTTGGGACACACGGCTGAAGGGGTTCGTGTGGGGTCGCCATGGCCTCCTCATCCATGAGTCCGGTTTTGAGGATTACGTGCCTGTTGTTATGATGGGCAACTGAGCGTTGTCTTATACCTCACACCCGTTATGGCTGGTCTCTATCAGGGTCCCGAGTGTGCTGGGGGCATGTGCATGGGCTGCAAATGGGGAAAGTTTGTCAGCTGTGCTGGTGTGTTTGGGTGTGCTGGGGGCATGTGCATGGGATGAACTGTGGGATGGTGTGAGAGTTTCATTCTCGTGTGTTTGGGTGTGCTGGGGGCATGTGCAAGGGATGCACATGGGGCTGGCGTGTTTGCTGTGCTCTTGCGTTTGGGTGTGCTGGGGGCATGTGCAAGGGATGCACATGGGGCTGGCGTGTTTGCTGTGCTCTTGCATTTGGGTGTGCTGGGGGCATGTGCAAGGGATGCACATGGGGCCGGCGTGTTTGCTGTGCTCTTGTGTTTGGGTGTGCTGGGGGGATGTGCAAGGGATGCACATGGGGCTGGCGTGTTTGCTGTGCTCTTGTGTTTGGGTGTGCTGGGGGCATGTGCAAGGGATGCACATGGGGCTGGCGTGTTTGCTGTGCTCTTGTGTTTGGGTGTGCCGGGGGCATGTGCAAGGGTTGCACATGGGATATGGCGCGTTTGCAGCCCACGTGTGTTTGGGGGGTCTGGGGGCATGTGCAAAGGATGCACATGGGGATGGCGTGTGCAGAGGCTCCTTGCCGCCGGAGGGATTGCGTCCCCCGACCTGGTTAGGGAACTGCCTTCCTCGTGGCAGCAGCGGCCCTTCTGTGCACGTAGCAATTGTGTGGCTATTTTGCATTAGTGGCCCCACTGTTTCGATGCGGTTTATTAATTAAATTAACTGTGTTTCTTTTACAAACGACCACCATGCCCATTTTGTTACGTCTATTAAAGGGGAGGCGTGTATAAAATTGCGACGGCTGGTTCGTTGTTACCGGATTGATGTTACTGAGTAACACCAGTGACAAGTTACGGCTACAAAGGTTGTGGGTGTGCTCTATGGCGGTTCCGAGATGGTTCCTGTGCAGTCCCTGGTGCATCCCCTGAGGACCCTCCGTGGAGCGCTGGTGGACCCACCCTTGAGTTCACAAAGGACCGCTCAGTGTGTAAATTAGCTAGATCCCCCAAAGATCGCAGATGGCACCTTTGCGGGCCGTGTGTGGACCGGTTTCTTTTGTGATGTTGAAGATTCCACCATTTGGAACCTGCTCCCTCTAGAATACAGCCCTCGAAGAGGAAACGCGCCACGGTGGGGTGTGCTCACAGAAAGGAGGGTGGTTCCACACAATTTTCATTTCTACCTATCTTATTTTTCGGTCGACCTCTCGATGCCTTCGCTAACAGATGCTCCACCATGTGCAGCAACAAGCCTGGCAGCAGTACCGAGTCGCCATAGCCATGCACATCTCCTCGCGAGCCGAAGAGTCCCTCTATTTACGTAGGGAATTAAAGGCTCCATAACTCACCTAGCGATACGATTTACGTAACGGCCGCAGCGCGGTTCTCCGTGACCGCGTGACAACGTCTCGTATGCTGCTCTGAAATGCAGCAACGATGGCGACGACGGGTTTAGGATAATGGAGGAGTGTGATGCCGAGGGCGACATCTTGATGACGACGAGGGCACAGGGGCACCTGTGGGGGAGTTGGAGGAGGATGCGTGATGGGAGCGACTTCTAGGAGATGACGAAGACATGGAGGAGTGGCACGCAGCCGATGAGGAGGAGGAAACGAGCGGGGTGGAGAAGGATGCCAGTGGCGAGGAAGGAATTCGGCGGCGAGAAGAAGGAAGCGGTGGAAGGCGAGGATGAGGAGGGGGGCGAGGAGGTGGCGGGCGAGGAGATGGGAGAGGAGGAGGCGGTGGAGGAGGAGGCGGAGGAGGAGGAGGAGGAGGAGGAGGAGGAGGAGGAGGAGGAGGAGGAGGAGGAGGAGGAGGAGGAGGAGGGGGAGGAGGAGGAGGAGGAGGAGGAGGAGGAGGGGGAGGAGGAGGAGGAGGAGGAGGAGGAGGAGGGGGAGGAGGAGGAGTGGGGGGGGAGGAGGAGTGGGGGAGGAGCGGGGGGAGGAGGAGGATGCGGAGGAGGAGGAGGAGGAGGAGGAGGAGGAGGAGGAGGAGGAGGAGGAGGAGGAGGAGGAGGAGGAGGAGGAGGAGGAGGAGGAGGAGGAAGAGGAGGAGGAGGAGGAGGAGGAGGAGGAGGAGGAGGAGGAGGAGGAGGAGGAGGAGGAGGAGGCAGAGGAGGAGGAGGAGGAGGAGGAGGAGGAGGAGGAGGAGGAGGAGGAGGAGGAGGAGGAGGAGGAGGAGGAGGAGGAGGAGGAGGAGGAGTAGGAGGAGGAGGAGGAGGAGGAGGAGGAGGAGGAGGAGGAGGAGGAGGAGGAGGAGGAGGGGGGGGGGGAGGAGGGGGAGGAGGAGGAGGAAGAGGGCGGGGAGGAGGAGGAGGAGGAGGAGGAGGATGAGGAGGAGGAGGAGGAGGAGGAGGAGGATGAAGAGGAGGAGGAGGAGGAGGAGGAGGAGGAGGAGGAGGAGGAGGAGGAGGAGGAGGAGGAGGAGGAGGAGGAGGAGGAGGAGGAGGAGGAGGAGGAGGAGGTGGAGGAGGAGGAGTGGGGCGGAAAACTTCGCGGCCATCCACGACCTCGCATTTGCGGGCCTTTTCTCGTTGAAGCATAGGTCACCCCCATTGCATTCTGCTTATGCCTGCTAGCTACATGTCCAACTTTTAAAGCCCTACTGAGATACCAACACCATCTTCACCGAACACCAACCGCTGCCGCCACCGCGCGTCCATGTCAATGATGAACCCGGGTACAAGTTCGAGTCTGTGCTTGCACACCATCATCGCCGGCATGGCACCCTAAAGCTTCTCATGCATTGGAAGTGTTATGATCCTTCTAAGGATAGATGGGTCTCTGAATCCGACATGGGTAACGCCCGTTGTCCGCTTCGCGGCGACCTTGTCAAGAAGGTTGCTACTTCTACCACCCAGCTTCGAGGGGGGAAACTGTGAGAATACGACCTTGTTACACTTCCTTCTCATTTCTATATTCCTTCTCTGTCTCATTCTTGTCTTGATCCTGATCCATTTGGACTTTATTTCATCTCATATACAGTGGCGGATTAAATTGTCCACATGTTTTGCCTTTTTTGGCATTTTTATGAGTGCAGAGGCGTATACATTAAGCCTTAATGTAAGGTGTGCATTAACGCTGAGAAGTTCAGTTAGAGCAGTCACTCCAGTGTTCAAACACCAAAGTAGTACCACACATGGTCCTTAAACTCCTAAGCATAGCATGGGAGAACATGTGGACAATTTGTACCGGAAAATGGTATCACACTAGATTCTAGGAAAACTAGTACCTAGTCCAGCGTCCCTTTGCCCGAATCACTGCCTTGATCCTCCTCGGCAGGCTGTCGATCAGGTTTGCACACACCTCCGGCGGTATCTTGTCCCATTCCTCCTGCACCCTCTCCCACAGCTCCAGCATTCCCCTTGGCGGCTTTTCGTACTTCCCCAGCTGCCTTTTCAAGTATGCCCACAGGTGCTCAATTGGGTTAAGGTCCGGGGAGCACGACGGCCATTCCAGCACCGCGTACTCCTGCTCCCCAAGCCAGTCTTGGACCAGACGACACCTGTGCTTGGGATCATTGTCGTGCTGGAAAATGACCTCTGAGGGGGAAAGCTTGAAAAAATCGATGGTCTGTTTGAGCTCATCTTGCAAGATGCTGCGATACAGCGGCCCATCCATCCTGCCATCTATCTTGCACATGAACCCCGCCCCCTCATACGTCATGCAACCCCACACCATCACAGAACCGCCCCCATGCTTAACTGTCTGTTGGACTTGGTGGCTCCGAAGGCTGGTGCCCTCGCGAATCCAGGCGTACGCACGTCCGTCGGAGCAGTAGCGGTTAATCTTCGTCTCGTCAGACCAAATCACCCGCTTCCAGTCCTCCAGCGTCCAGTCGGCATGCGCCCGCGCGAAGTCGAGACGATCGCGGATGTTTTTCGGTGAGAGCCTGGGTTTCTTGGGCTGATGCACGGCGATCAGCCCCGCGGATCGTAAAGAGTTGCGGACCGTCTTCGAGTCTACGGCGAGATCGTGCTTCTCCAACAACATCTTGGCCGCGTCTGAAGAGCTTTTCGCCTCGCCGCTAGTAATCGCACGTATAACTCCGCGCTGGAGACGGGTTGTGATTAAGCGGGGGCGGCCGGCCGAAGGCATCGTAGGTCGCACCTCCTCGCGACTAGTCTCCTCAGCGAGTTTCATACCGTAATCGTGCACGGTGCTCTTGCCTATGCCAAGAAGTTTCCCTATTTTCCTAGTCGAATGCCCCGCACGCAACATGCTTCTGATCCTCGCGCGCTTCTTCTCATTTAACGGCTTCATAGCGATGCGGTCGTAGGCTCGCTTCCGGACTAACAACTAAGCTAGGAACTGGTGCGCGTGACGATGTACACACTGAGCGACGGGGGAAAATAGATCTACTCTTCCGCTCGGTAGGAAATGTCCACATCGACAGTCGAGTAGTAAATTTCAACCCCACTTTCCGTTAGTGTCACAATCGCGCCAAGCAAGAAACGGATGAAGCAGAACTCAAAAACCGAGTAACAGAGTGGAAAAAAACGGGTGTTACTATTTTCGAAACATGTGTTGCATAACGATACGTTTCAAAGTGTTAAACATCCGGGCAATTTAATCCGCCACTGTAATGTAGTTTCCTATTCCTGATTTTCCACTATCCTTTGGTTTATCCTCTGATTATAATTATATCTTCGACCAGGCTCGGGATGTACTCGCGTGCTATGTCTAGCGTAATCCTGTTGTAATCCCTTTAAGTCAATAGATTTACATGGCTATACGCATGGTGATTCTATTCTCTAGAAGGGTAAATTCACTTTGGATAGGATAAAATTGAATACCTGATGTACTTTGGAAGTATAAAAGTACCATGGAATGGAACAGCTTCCACTCACCCACTACCTCCTGAGCAGCACATGGCTCCACAGTGAACCCTGAAGGCAGTGGTGTTGCTATCTTTCTCCCTTCTTGCAACCGATACTTCTCAGGTAGTCCCTCACTGTACGTTCTCTGGTGCAACCTCAACACACCATTCTCCAGGTCTCTCTCCACATTCTTCTCCAATTAGTACTTTACCTTGCCTAACTTGGAACACTTGAACTGCATTCCGAGAAGCTGCTATGCACTTTCCATCAAAGCAGTTGTCACAAAGAAGAGAAGGATGTTATCCATATGTTGGATGTGTCCTAGGAATTGGACTTTCTCGAGGGCGAATTCGCTAGTGGATAATTTGACGTAGAATCGTTCTCGTCGAAGAATTTCGAAGACACGTCGCAGGTGTTGGACGTGCTGCTGCATGTCGAGCAAGTAGATGAGGATGTCGTCCAGGTACACCACCACGCATTCGTCCAAGCGTGGGCGTGGAATATGGTTCATTTCGGCTTGGAACGTTGCCGGTGCGTTGGTGAGTCTGAACGGCATTACCAGATACTCGTACGACCCGTACAGGGTTCAGAAGGCAGTTTTGTGGATGGAATTGTCCGCCATTAATCATTGCCAATATCCGGACCGCAGATCCAATTTCGAAAATACCGTGGCTCCCCAAAGCTGGTCAAGCAGGTCATCTATTCGTGGAATTGGGTATTTGTTCTTGATGGTCTGCTTGTTGAGAGCTCGGTAATCGATGCACATGCGTAAACTCCCGTCTGGATTTGGTGTAAAGAGTACTGGGGCACTGTATGGCAAAGTGGATGGTCGGATGAGTCTATTGGCAAGGAGATACTCGATTTGTTTCTTCATGTCGGCTAGCTCTGTGGGGCTGAGCCAATATGGTGCTCGGAAGGTCGGCTTCGAACCTGGTTCTTCCACGATCTCGTGTTGGTGTGTTCAGTATGGCGGCAGCTCGTTCGGAAGGTCATCGGGAAGAATGTCTTGGAACTCCTTCTGTAATTCCTTGATGTTTTCTGGAGGTTTCGAGGTTTTCTCTCCGTCGTTTTCCACCCCTGTCCCTATCGTCAGGAACCCGGTGTCGGTTTGCTTTACGTCCTTCTCAAATCTTGCGAGTGTCTCCATTGGGATATCTTATGTATCGTCCCAGTTGGGTAGCTGGACTCTCCTTCCGTTGTTGTAGATGCTTGCGGTACGATATACCTAGTTGATCTCGCGGTTGAATGATTTTAGGAAATCTCACCCAAATATCAAGTCAAGCCCTTTTATGTTGGTGATGGGGAGTGCAGGTTTCCAACGCAGTGGTCCAATTTGTAGGTGTAACACTGCTTCGCCGTATACTGGTAACTTGCTGCCGTCCACCATCGTTGCAGAGATACTGAAGGTTGTACTCTTCCCGAAGTCGGTCGATTACTGCCTTGTCGCATACGGTGTGTGATGCTCCGCTGTCCACGAGTGCTTGGAGGCGCCGTCCTTTGCAGATGACCTCGCGCACGAGGGGTAGGCGTTGGTCGGAGTACCCAAAGATAGTTTCGTTAATAGGATCATAGGTTACATCCCAATATTCTGTACACACCTTTTCCTTGCTATCTACTCTTGGGCTAGCAGCTGGCTGAGGCTGCTTGGAGAAAGGCTCTCCCTCGGGACCCTGAGCTTTCTTGACGACTGTGTGTATTGTTGATGCCGAATTTGCTGAGCTGGATGCATCTAAAGGAGGAGTTTGGGGTTTTTACATCTTCTTGTAGACCCCTAGCTTCCTCTTGAGCAACTTGAGCTCCACCGACGTCTTCCCTGGGGAACGGGTAGTCGTTGTGGGCTGGTTTCGGGAGAGGACGTTCGCTCCGTGGAAAGGTCCCCAAGTTTTCCGGTACTGGTACGATCTCCACAATTTTCTGCTTCTTCTGGAGTCACTCCCGAATTTTCTCCAAGGCTCTAGCATCTTGAAAATCATAAATTACCATTAAAGCATCCTTATAAGATAATTATAACAAATCCTTATAATTTCTTGGAGCTTCTCGGAGTTTCCCCGTCTCGGCAGAGTTCTTTTTTGCGGAGTCAGATTTTTTGTTCGCGATTTTCCCTGGCGAAGACTGGTCGTGGGGTGGAGATTTTTCCCCATCATTTCCTCATGCTCGCATCGAATCACCTTCGTTGAAGTTGATTTTCCCAGAATCTCGCGGCCGCTTTCGGATCTTTTATTTTTCGCCAGCTAGATCCGCAATCACTGGCGAATTCCGTTTTTTTTTCTTCTGATTGGCCGAAGAATTTCCGCCACTATTGTGTGCCCAATACTCTGCTCATGCGGCTTTCATTTTGTTGCAGTCGAAGATTCGATGGCCCGGCACCTCACAAAAATCACACGTGTAGTTGGTGTTTTTCGGACATGACCGCCCATCAAACCTGTCGATTTCCATAGGGTCGGCGAACATGGGGTGAGCCGAGCGGTCGCCCTATCGTGTACTGCCGACGTGCGCCCGTCGTGTTCCGGCCTTGACCATATCAAACCGCTCTGCTGCCGATACGACGTTACTAAAGCTTGCGTAATTTGTCGCTGCTACCTGTCATTTGACTTCGGTCTTCCGCCTCGCGAGATACGACTGTACTTTTTCCCCTTCGGTCAGGTCGGGAATGTGGTTATAAAATTCCTCCATCTGTTGCGTGTACTGTGCTATACTCCCGAACTGTCGATGGCGATGATTTTTTTCCCGGACAAGGAAACCGGAATTTATCGGCTCGAAGCGTTTCAGTAGGTCGGTTCGGAACTGCTGCCACATGGCTACGTCGTGGATGAAAGTACTGTTATCGCCGATCCACTCGAGTGCCGGCCCTCGCATCAGTGTCGCCGTAAGCCGTACGCGTTGACCGTCCCAGACTGGCAAGCTCCATCCGACGGCTACAAAGTAGATCTCCATGCCGGCGATCCATCTGCGGACGTCGGAATTTCGATCGCTCGGATGGAACGGCTCAGGTGGGCGCGGTTTTGGAGCCTCGAGAAACTGCTGCGACTGCTTCGTCGTCGTCGTTGTCGTTTCGTGCTGTGCGCCGGCGAGTCGAGTTACTCGCTCGAACTTATTTCGCCAAGCTTCGGGATCGGCTCGCATCTCCTCCTGAAGGGCGGCGATGCTCGCGAAGAGCTGCTGGGTAACCTCGACGTTGTCGAAGTTTGCCATCCTGTTCAAAATACGCGCGGAGGGGTTAATTCAAAAAACGCGGAGCGGGTGCTTACTAGAATTGGCGCCCAATTAGTCGCCCCCGGCAGTTTTGCGAGGCAGGTTTTCCCGCTTCTTCTACTTAGCTGAGCGCGGCAGAGTGAGAAAAGCTCTGATTACCAAGTGTCACATGATCGTATGTGTCGAGGAAAAGTTGCACTATCAATTGATACAAGGCACTTTTATACTCCTAAGATACATCAGGTAACCAGGTTTATCCTATCCAAAGGGAATAGACCCTTCTAGAAATAGAATCACCCTGCATATAGCCACGCGAGGCTATTGGCTTTAAATATTACGGCAAGATTACGCTAGATATAACGCGCCAGTACATCACGAGCCTGGTCGGTGATATGATTATAATAGGATAACCGAAAGGATGATGAGAAAGTAGGAATCGGAAACCAAATGGGATGAGATAAAGATCAAAGGAATCAGGATAAAAAGAAGAATGAGATTGTGGAAAAAGATGGAAATGAGAAAGAAGTGTAACGGGGTCGTACTCTCACAAACCCCCCCCCCCCTCTCCCCCCCCCCCCTTGTGTCGTCCTACTGTTGTTTTTGCTGTGTAATTTCTCCTGCTTGAGATGCAGTGGAATTTGGCGATGGCTACTGCTCCGTGGTGTGGGTGACGATGGCTGGTGTTAACGCGCTCAGTCCGTCTTTGTCTCGGGTTGTCATCATCTGCAGGTACGCAATTGTTGCATGCATGGTACCTCATCAGTTGCCGCCACATCTCCTCGATGAGTCGGTTCTTCTTGTCAAAGGGCGGACGTGAGTTTTGTCTGGGGCACATGGTGGCAGCTTGCACAGCTTCGAGGTGATTGCGTATCCGCTGAATGCAGCGAGAGGCTTTCAGTTGCTCCTGGTCATGGTTGCCTGAGCCTACATGTGGTCTCCTTGGCGATAGCTCTGGCATTTCTGTGGAATCGTCTCTAAGGAGTGAGAGCTAATTAACCTTGATAAATGTAGCTGTTTCCTCAATGTGCACCATAAGTGGCTACCACAATACTGCCTGCAGTAGCCCAAAATAGCGCTAGAAGTGATTGGATCTAAAGCCTCTGATGACACAGCACATACGAACATAGGGTGTTGGATAGCACCTTAGCATGGAAGCAATAAACTTATTGATAGAAATGAGGAACCATCCAAGAAGCATGCCTAAACTCTACGTGGACCATATTGCGAGCACCTAAAAAACACATACGCTTATGCCTATGTCACTCTCACCGCCTTTGTTGGTGCACTTGATACCCAATAGCTTGAGGAGAAGCACTAGGTCTGGCATGCATAGTGGCTTCCCTTGTGCTTCCTTGGACAAAGTAGATGGTTGCCAAGCGACTAGCCGCATTGGCAAGCTTATCAAAGTAGAGCGCATCTGTGCCTAGCCTGTGGTATTGAGAGCTCTAAATAGCATGGATCTCAAAACAATCAATGCCACATTTCAGCATCTTGGCAGTTAGGCATGACCGCCACATCGAGATGGTCCGATTCGTGTCGAGCCAGACCCGCCAAGAGCTCAGCTGGTTGCAAATCTAAGGTAGGCAAGCCCGGCTGGATGCTCGAGTCCAGCCAGCTAGCTCGCGAGAAGCTCGACTCCCCTAATGATGTTAGGGCCTTAGTGATGTTGCTGGTCGCATGCTCCAAATCAGGAGGACCCTAGCAGATAGAGAGCTGCCTTGAGCGTCAACTACTACCAATTTTTCCTCCCTGCGCTTTGCCTGGCAAGCTTAATAAACAAGTGTACAATATTGCAGCCAATCCATGTCGTAGGGAGAGATCGTATTCCACTCTTTCCAAACATCTAACACCATAAAAGCGTCAAGAGTGTTTCGGTCCTTGGCGCACCAAGCCCAAACTCCAAGAGAATAACAAAGCTGGAAACGAGGCAAGGAAATGGCTTTCAGCCAATCGAAATAGTGCTTCATGTATGCGGCAAAAATAAAAGCCGATGAGCGAAATAGCAATCAGCAAAATAACATATGCACAAGATCAACCGATTGTTGTGCTAAAATATAGCCATTTGATCTCCCCAATGAAATACATTGGAATTAACCCATTGGACTAAAACAAATAAGTCGTTGATGCAATCTTGTAAGTGTGCAACTTCATGACTATAGATGTTGTCGTGTCGTGGGTCAGCAGGGCACAATGTTCTGTGTGATGACGTGAACATGTTATTCATATGTGTTCATGCATGAACCCCGAATATAAGCTCCTTTATTTGTTTAACCCCATGGGTCCTTAATATGCAAATGAGACAGAGACCTTTCATTCTATTATCTCTCTCTCCCCATCCCCCGGACACGATTTCAAAAGGGCACCTCTTTCTATATTTGAAACACATCATAGAATACTTCGCTGGACCAGAGAATATTTTGCTGCAACCCACCCAGGCAAGCAACTCGGCCAGATTACCAAAGGCGCAACAGCTGCCCTGTTTTGATCTAAGTGTACGAGGATCAACGTCGGCGGAAGCATGGCTGTTTACCATCAATATTTTTTATGACGCGTGCCTTGTCAGTGACGACAACGCCAAAATCCAATACGCTGTATCACTATTACGTGGACCTGCAATAGATTGGTGGCACATGACCTTGACCTCACCCGATGAACCAGACACACCACAACAAGTGGACGAGACACTTCTAGCTTCGAACCAGTGGTCGGGTAACTTCTACGACTTGAACCAGTATAGGACCTTGCAAACGTGGAGCGAGGGTCTGAATCAACGTTTCGTAGTGCAAAATGCTAGCTTCATGGCGTGATAGAAACTTTGCACCTGGCACCAGCTCGGATTGGTTCAAGACTACAACAACAGTGTCATTGGCTTATGCATCAAGCGGGACGCATGCAATACGAACACAAAATTGACGAGTACCTCATGGGGCTGTGTGCTGATTTATGTCCAAGAAAAATCAAATGCGTGGCACCACCGCTTCGTAAAAAAAACTTGCATCGTGGAGCAGCTGGATTGGTTGAGCGAACCAAGGGCGGGTTCCTATGAGAGACAACGACTCGGGGATCGACAGAGTGCACCACTGTACACTCCAACAGCACCACTACAACAATTTACCCATTCAGGGGGCGCCTTTTCAGGTGCAACCGGCCGGGTCATTGTAAAAGTGAATGCCTAGATGAAAAAAAGGGGGGTGGGGTTAACGAGTAGCAGGGGTCCAGCTGGCAGGGAAATGCCAAAGGTCAGTAGCTAAAGGACCTACTACTGAGGGGACCAGCTCACCTGATCGTAACGACCTTCATCGAGTAATCGTCCCGATCCAAGCTATCGATGGCACGTGGCTAAGTAAGGAAGGAACAGCTGCAGATTTTCCCGCATTTTCAGGGGTCATCGCAAAAATATTCGTGGATAGAGGGGCTACGCATTGTCTGATCAACCTTGCCATTTCAAAGAAAATGTGGGTTACCTTTGATTAGGTGTTTACCTGAGGTGGACAACCGCCTCGTCGAGGCACTCCATTCGCTGTCAGGGACAGGGAAGAGTAGTTGCGAGTATGAATTGGAGCTGCTTTTAGTTTTCCGCAGGGCTTGCTGGCAACTATACTCGACAGGACAGATGTTTTATTGGGTCGGGATTGGTTGTCACGATTTAAAAAACAATCGATTGGTCCAACGATATATGTACTGTTCGGATCAACGGGAAAGGGATCGATATGCCATGGTGGATGAAGCGGACCGCATGGGGAGTGGCGCAGGTGAACGCGATCACAATCAAATCGGGCGATATCCAACGGTGCATAAGCCTGTGCTATCGTCATCCGCAAGTCAGGCATGGCCTCGCTATTATTAGACCATGCGAAGTTGATGGTTGCAATGCCTGGTGACCTGGTGAAGCTGATTTCCAACTTCCCATATATTTTCCTTGACGATTTGCCCGAAGGGTTACTACCACAGTGGCCATTCGATTACAAGATAGAACTAGAGCCAAGATCTCAACCGACCATTCAGCGAGAGTTACGCATGGCTCAGCCGGAATCAGAGGAGTTACAAGAACATGTAGATTATCTGCTCGTGTTTAGGGTCTGGCAAGATGACTACGGGTGCGGACGTGAGTGCGTGTTTTAGTTGCTCCACGACTTGCTGATGTTTGGTTCCCACTTATAAGGCGTGTTCTTCTTCAGCAGATTCGTGAGTCGTATTGCGATTTTTGCGTACTGTGGCACGAACCTGTTGTCATAGTTAGCGAAGCCTAGGAACTGCTGCAACTACTTCATGTTCTCGGGTGTCTTCCATGTGCGTACAGCTTCGGTCTTCTTGGGGTCGACGTGAACTCCTTGAGCGCTCGCCATGTGTCCTAGGAATTGGACTTTCTCGACGGCGAATTTGCTCTTGGATAATTTGACGTAGAATCGTTCTCGTCGAAGACGCATCGTAGGTGTTGGACGTGCTGCTGCATGTCGTCCAGGATGTTGTCCAGGCACACCACCATACATTCGTCCAAGAGTGGGCTTAGAATGTGGTTCATTTCAGCTTGGAACCTCACCAGTGCGTTGGTGATTCCGAACGGCATTACCAGATACTCGTACGACCCGTACCGGGTTCGGAAGGTAGTTTTGTGGATGGAATTGTCCGCCATTCGTATCTGCCAGTATCCGGTCCGCAGATCCAGTTTGGAAAATACTGTGGCTCCTCGAAGCTGGTCAAGCAGGTCATCGATTTGTGGTATTGGGTATTTGTTCTTGATGGTCTGCTTGTTCAGAGCTTGGTAATCGATGCACATGCGTAAACTCCCGTCTGGTTTTTGTGTGAAGAGCACTGTGGCACCGTATGGCGAAGTGGACGATCGGATCAGTCCTTTTGTGAGGAGATACTCGATCTGTTTCTTTATGTCGGCTAGCTCCGTGGGGCTGAGCCGATATGGTGCTCGGAAGGTCAGCTTCGAACCTGGTTCTTCCACGATCTCGTGTTGGTGCGTTCGGTATGGCGGCAGCTCGTTCGGAAGGTCGTCGGGAAGAATGTCTTGGAACTCCTTCAGTAATTCCTTGATTTTTTCTGGAGGTTCCGAGGTTTTCTCTCCGTTGTTTTCCACCTCTGTTGCTATCGCCAGGAACCCGGTGTTGGTTAGCTTTACGTCCTTCTCGAATCTTGCAAGTGTCTCCACTGTCCCAGTTGGGTAGCTGGACTCTCCTTCCGTTGTTGTAGATGCTTGCGGTACGATTTACCCTGTTGATTCCGTGGTTGAATCTTTTTAGGAAATCTTGCCCTAATATCTAGTCAAGCTCTTTTACGTTGGTGATGGGGAGTGCAGGTTTCCAACGCAGTGGTCTGATTTGTAGGTGTAACACTGCCTTGCCGTGTACTGGTAACTTGCTGCCGTCCACCATCGTTGCAGAGAATGCTAAAGGCTTGTACTCTTCCCGAAGTCGGTCGATTACTGCCTTGTCGCATACGGTGTGTGATGCTCCGCTGTCCACGAGTGCTTGGAGGCGTCGTCCTTTGCAGATGACCTCGAGCACGAGGGGCAGGCGTTGCTCAGAGTACCCAAAGATAGTTTCGTTAATAGGATTATAAGGTACATCCCAATATTCCGTACACACCTTTTCCTTGCTATCTACTCTTGGGCTGGCAGCTGGCCGAGGCTGCTTGGAGAAAGGCTCTCCCTCAGGACCCTCAGATTTCTTGACGACTGTGTGAGTCGTTGATGCCGAATTTGCTGAGCTGGATGCATCCGAAGGAGGAGTTCGGGGTTTTTGCAATTTCTTGTAGACCCCTAGCTTCCTCTTTTGCTGCTTCAGCTCCACCAACGTCTTCCCTAGGGAACGGGTAGTCATTGTGGGCTGGTGTCGGGAGACGACGTTGACTCCATGGAAAGGTCAGCTTTTTTCCACACTCCTTAATTTTGTCCCCAAGTTTTCCGGCATACCGGAAGGATCTCCACAATTTTCTACTTCTTCTAGAGTCCCTCCCGAAATTTCTCCAAGGCTCTAGCCCCTCGAAAATCATAAGTTTTCATTATAGCATCCTTATAAGATAACTTTAACGAATCCTTATAATTTCTTGGGTCTTCTTGGAGTTTCCCCATCTCGGCAGAGTCCTTTTTCGCGGGGTCAGTTTTTCTCTCTGCGATTTTCCCTGGCGAAGACTGGTCGTGGGGTGGAGATTTTTCCCCATCATTTCCTCCTGCTCGCGTCGAATCAGCTTCGTTGAAGTTGATTTTCCTGGAATACCGTGGCCGCTTTCGGATCTTTTCTTTTTCACCAGCTAGATCCGCAATCACTGGCAAATTCCATTTTTTGTCTTTTGATTGGTCGAAGAATTTCCGCCACTGTTGCGTGCCTGATACTCTGCTCGTGCGGCTTTCATTTTGTTGCAGTCGAAGATTCGATGGCCCAGCACCCCGCAAAAATCATACGTGTAGTTGGTGTTTTTCGGACGTCACCGCCCGTCGAACCTGTCGATTTCCATCGGGTCGGCAAAAGTGGGGTGAGCCAAGCGGTCGCCCTGTCGTGTACTGCCGACGTGTGCCCGTTGTGTTCCCGCATTGACCAGGTCAAACCGCTCTGCTGCCGATACGACGTAACTGTAGCTCCCGTAATTTGTCGCTACTACCTATCGTTTGACTTCGGTCTTCAGAATGGGAAGGGGAAAGGGTCCCAGAATGGCAAGCTCCATCCGACTGTATCTTTTCCCCTTTGGCCAGGTCGGGAATGTGGTTATAAAATTCCTCCATCTGTTGCGTGTACTGTGCTACACTCCCGAACTGTCGATGGCGATGATTTTTTTCCCAGGCAAGGAAACCCTAATTTATCAGCTCGAAGCGTTTCAGCAGGTCAGTGCGGAACTGCTGCCACGTAGCTTCGCCGTGGATGAAAGTACTGTTGCCGCCGATCCACTCGAGTGCCGGCCCTCGCATCAGTGTCTCCGCGAGTCGTACGCGTTGACAGTCCCAGAATGGCAAGCTCCATCCGACGGCTACGAAGTAGATTTCCATGCCGACGATCCATCTGCGGACGTCGGAATTTCGATCGCTCAGATCGAACGGCTCAGGTGGGCACGGTTTTGGAGCCTTGAGAAACTGCTGCGACTGCCGCGTCGTCGCCGTTGTCATTTCGTGCTGTACGCCGGCAAGTCAAGTTACTCGCTCGAACTCGTTTCGTCAAGCTTCGCGATCGGCTCGCATCTCCTCCTGAAGGGGGGCGATGCTCGCGAAGAGATGCTGGGTAACCTTGGCGTTGTCGAAGTTCGCCATCCTGTTCAAAACACGCGCGGAGGGGTTAATTCAAAAAACGCAGAGCATGTGCTTACGAGAATCGGCGCCGAATTAGTCGGCCCCGGTAGTTTTGCGAGGCAGGTTTTCCCGCTGCTTCTGCTTAGCTGAGCGCGGCTAAGTGAGAAAAGCTCTGATTACCAAGTGTCACAGGATCGAATGTGTCGAGGAAAAGTTGCACTATCGATTGATACAAGGCGCGTTTATACTGCCGAGGTGTATCAAGTCACCAGGTTTATCCTATCCAAAGGGAATATGCGCTTCTAGAAATAGAATCACTTTAAGTATAGCCACGCGAGGCTATTGGCTTTAAAGGATTTGGGCAAGATTACGCTAGATATAGCGCGCCAGTACATCCCGAGCCTGGTCGGTGATATAGTTATGATAATAGGATAACCCAAAGGATAATGAGAAAGGAGGAATAGGAAACCAAATGGGATGAGATAAAGATCAAAGGAATCGAGATAAAGAGAAGAATGAGATAAGGAAAAAGATGGAAATGAGAAAGAAGTGTAACGGGGGGGGGTATTTGATGTAGAAAGTGAGACGAATCGAATCGATTGTTTATAGCGTTGCTATTATAGGGGGCATACGATTATACAGTTTCATAATAGAAAGTACAAAAATACATGTGTGGCGGTATCATCATTGGCCCAACATCTTGAACGACATTCAATATAACGTTGCTTCGTGCCAGACTCATCATACTTTAGGATCTTCTTGCCAGCTACTCACCGGCCAGCTCCAACCAATTCTACCATCCAAGGGAGCTTGGCAGCTAGTGACGATGGGCTTCGTCAGGGGGTTACGGGATCATAGTGGTCATTGATGGCGTTACGAAGATGGCGCATTTTGCAACATGGAAAAAAAAAAAAAAAAAAAAAAAAAAAAAACATCGACAAAGGAACTGCGCAACTGTTCTTTGTCACGATCGTTCTTTGACAAAGGAGCTCCAAGCCGCCATTATATCAGACCACAAAACCAATTTCTCCAACAAATTTTGGCACTATCTCTAAGTGCAGTTCGACACTTGCCTACGATTCTCATTCGCCTATTATTTCGAGACTGGCGGTCAAACTGAACGAGCGATAGAGCAACCCTATAGTACCCATTACCCCGAATCCTGAGAATCTGGTCCCATGTACATTTTAGTTTCCTGGTGTCTTACAATAGAAGACAAGTGAAGAAATCGCGTATCAAAGAGAAACGTAAATCTATACTACCACGCAATCAGCCCATCATTTCAAGTGCGATTTCTATGACCCCACATCGCCAAGACAGGTGCCTCGGATGGACAAAAAATTCCTTGTAGAACAATTGGGTGCCCTTGGCATAAATCGAGAATTACCTGATATTATAGGTCTACCTCTAGTCCCGCAAGCGGGAAGACGTTGGCGATCTTACAGTGGCAGGAAAAATTGCCCGGATGTTCAGCACTTTAAAACTTTAGCGCTATGCAACGTATGTTTTGAATATAGTAACACCACGTTTTTTTGTCATGTTACAAGTTCGTCGAGTTTTGTTTCCACCGTATACAGCTTGGCGCGATTGTCCCTCATCCAGTTACGGGCATAGCCAAGGAGCTCGGCATAGGCAAAAGTACCGTGCATGATTACGGGCTGAAGGTGATTGCCGAGACTAGTCGCGATGAGGTGCGACCTACAATGCCCATGGCCGGCCGTCCACACTTAATTACAACCCGCCTCCAGCGCGGTATAGTTCGTGCAATTACCAGCGGGGAGGCGGAAACTAGTGTGGACGCCGTGAAGATGCTAGAGGAGAAGCACGCTCTGGTTGTAGACTCGAAGACCGTTAGGAACTCGTTACGATCCGCGGGTCTGATCGCTGTGCAGCAGCCCAAGAAACCCAGGCTCTCAGCGAAAAACATACGAGACCGGCTGGATTTTGCGAGGTCTCATGCCGACTGGACAATGGAGGACTGGAAGCGTGTGATATGGTCCGAAGAGACGAAGATTAATCGTTTCTGCTCCGACGGACGTGCGTACGCCTGGGTTCGCGCGGGCAGCAAACTCCAGAGCCACCAAATCCTGCAGACAGTTAAGCATGGGGGTGGCTATGTGATGGTGTGGGGTTGCATGACGTATGAGGAGCCGGGGTTCATGTGCAACATCGATGGAATGATGGATGGGTCGCTGTATCGCAACATCTTGCAAGGCGAACTGTCTCAAACCATTGGTTTTTACAAGCTCCCCTAGTCAAGGGTCATATTCCAGCACGATAATGTTCCCAAGAACAAGTCACGTCTGGTGCAAGACTGGCTTGGGGAGCAGGAGTATGCAGTGCTGGAATGGCCGTCGTCCTCCCTGGACCTTAATCCGATAGAGCACCTGTGGGCACACTTGAAGAGGGAGCTGGCGAAGTACGACAAGCCTCCTAGTGGAATGTTGGAGCTGTGGAATGTTGGAGCTGAGGGTGCCGGAGGAATGGGACAAGATTCCGGCGGAAGTGTGCTCAAACCTCATCGATAGTATGCCAAGGAGGATCAAGGCGGTGATCCGCGCAAAGGGGCGCTGGACTAGGTACTAGTTTTGCTAGTAAATAGTTTGCTGCCTGTCCTCGGTACAAATTGTCCGGATGTGCTATTAATAAATGCTGTCATGTTGAAGGACCATGTACTAAACTACTCTGGTTTTAGGAGACTTGAGTGAGTGATCTAACTGCTCTTCTCTACGTGTATGGCCACCATTGATTAAGGCTTAATGTTTACAGCGTATAGCTCGTCATAATGCAAAAACATGCTAAACATCCTGACAAGTTTTCTTGCCACTGTAGCTGTCAACAAACATAGATTGTTATATATACATACCTAGTTAGAGTATATATGTTTGTCATATATAGCCTAGCTAGGCCAGCTCTTAGAAGGGATAACACTCTATTGTATCTCCCCTCCCCCCTTTCTAGATAACTTTTTATCGTGTTATTTTCATATTAGCTACAACCATACTGATATTTCCTTATCACAAGTTTCACTTTGTCAAGTGTACACCTCTATAAATGGGTATCAGAACTTCATCACTAACAACTGAATTTAAAAGGTTTGTTAATAGCGGGTAAGTGCGCCCATAACCCCCCAGGCTCTGCACCTGTAACCCCTCCCCGAGGACCAAGGGCAACCCCAGCGTGTATCATGACACCCCTCCTCGCTGGGATAGGCGGTAGACACAAGCGCTTCTGCAGCGTGCACCTCCATGGTGCACACTGGGAATTGAACCCAGATGGTCACCCTGCTCCAATACCATATCAAAATACAGTCACTAACCACTGAGTTAAAAGAGCTTGTTAATAGCGGGAAAGTGCGCCCATAACCCACCAGGCTCTGCACCTGTAACCCTTCCCCGAGGACCAAGGGCAAACCCAGCGTGTATCATGACAATGGGTTCCTACGCTTTTTGTCACATCCATCCAATCCGCATCGAAAAATGTGGTCAATTCCAAACCGTATCCATTTTTGTGCATTTTGCACGTTCATGCTCGTCGAGTGCGTATTTAGCCCATTTTCGCGCCACATGTATAAAGCTCTCCCGAGCTTGTCTGTTTGCTTCGTGCCTAGCTATATGCTAGTATTGGTCTTGTCTTTATGTTGCCAATTGTGTAATCATTCTCACTTCAATTTGTCTTGTGCACATAACAATTATGTTAGATACGGTAGACTCGTATACACTGTCAACTTATACATACATTTGCATGTAGAAGTTATAGGCTAGAAAAGGTGTATGTTCTTAGAGAGTACAACCCAATCCTATATCTTGCTTGTTCTCTCTTGTTTCTTATCATTCTAATATTCTAACATGGTATCATGCGTAGGTTAGGTCCTCCCACCCGCTTCCGCCCTGCGCCCTAGCCTACCGCGCCTCGCCGGCCCCTCCCCCCCCCCCCCCCCCTCGTGCCCTAGCCGGCCCCTCGCGCCCCGCTGGCCCCCATTCGCGCCTTGCCGGCCCCTTGCGCCCTAGTCGGCCCCTTCCCGCCTAGCCGTCCCCTCGCGCCCTAGCCGGCCCCTCGCGCCCAGCCGGCCCTCCCTCTCACCGTAGCCGGCTCATAGCGCCGTCGCCAGCCCCTCGCGCCATCGCTGGCCCCTCACGCTGTAGCCGGCCCCTCACGCCGTAGCTGGCCCCTCGCGACGTCGCCGGCCCCTCGCGCCGTCGCCAGCCCCTCGCGCCCAGCCGGCCCCTCGCACCCAGCCGGCCCCTTGTGCTTTAGCCGGCCCCTCGTGCCGTAGTCGGCCCCTCGTGCCCTAGCCGGCCCCTCGCGCCGTTGCCAGCCCCTCGCGCCCTAGCCGGCCCCTTCTCGCACCGCCGCCGGTCACCCACTTGCCTAGCCAGCCCCTCTCATCCAGCCGGTCCCTTGCGCCTAGCCGCCCCCTACAACCTAGCCGGCCCCTCTTGCACACCGCCGGCCCCTCACGCCTTGCCGGCTCCGCTCTACACGCCAGCCCCTCGTGCCTCGGCCCCTTGAGCACACGCGCAGGCTCCTCGCGTGCCCTCCTCGGACTTCCTTCCAGTCCCCATTCCGGAGAGTCCTGCCGTCACGTCACTGCATCGCCAAGCAGCTGAGTACCTGTGTCCTTGTGCCGATGTGCCGCTGTGTCCCGGTGACGCTGCCGTTGCGCGATGGCGGATGCCATGCTACGCTTGGACGCGGAGGGGCACGCAATCGACTTCGTTGCCTGGCTTGTCGATCTTTGCCGGCACCTGACAGGTCAGCGCCAGGATGGGCACTCCCTGGCTATGCATGTTGATGGCTTGCTTCCTTGCCCCTCAGCACCTGATCCTCTCCCTGCTGACCCCACCACTGCTGAGAGTAAGGACTTTGCTGCTGCTGCGCTCACTCGCGCTGTCTGGGATTCTCGCGATGCTATAGCGCAGCTTGCCATTAGTCACGCCCTTCCCCTTTCTGAGCGTCCGCGCTTCATTGCTGTCGCGAACGCCAAAGACTTCTTAGATGCAGTAGTTGCCCGCTACTCCATGCCTGCCTCCGCCTCAGCTGGACGCTTGATCCTCCCCATGCTCTTCCCCGATCTCTCTGCTTTCCCCACTGTCGCTGATCTCACCACTCACCTCCGTGCACTAGAGACTAGCTACCGGGCTGCTAGCACTACTGGGCAGTAGTGCTAGCAGCCCGGCCCCGGACCTCCCTGACTGGCCCAGTCTCCTGCGTCACGGTGTGCCTGTGTTTGACTTAAACATGAATCAGACTACTTCTGCCTTGCATTCTCTGTATGCTAACACTTCTAGTGTGTCCGGATCTTATGACTACGTGTTCTCTAGCTTAGGCATAGCATCTGTGTGTAGTATAGACACCCCTGCTGCTTTGTCTAGTCTAGGCTCCACACTCGCTCCTTCTTCGTCTGCCATTACTACTTCGCTGTCCTTCACCCTTGACTCCGGTGCGTCTGCCTGCTTCTTCCGAGACCACGCCACACTCACGCCGCTCGCCATGCCTACCGCTGTCGCACTTGCTGACCCCTCTACTGGTCCTGTCGTTGCTCGCAGCTACACTACCCTTCCCTTTCCTGCGGTCCCCTCGGGTTCCCTTACAGGCCTGCACATCCCTTCGTTCTCCAGGAGCTTAGTTGGTGTTGGCTGTCTTCAGGACCTCGGCTTCACCACTACGTTTCCTGGTCACGAACAGAACGCTGTCTGTACCGAGACCGCCTCAGGTTCCCCTGGGACCTGGTGTCTGGCCTCTTTACGCTGGACACTGCTTCCCCCTGGTTGGCCCGTCCTCCATGGGCCTTGCATCTACCCAGGTCGCTGCGGCTTGCTCGTGTCGGTCGCTCACCCACCCGTCCCTTCTGTGGCACCACCGCCTAGGTCACCCCGCACTCCCGCGTCTGCGACACATGTCTCAGCACAGTCTCGTCCTCGGCCTCCCTGCATCGCTTCTTGCCCTCCCTCCATAGCCTGCACCGCCGTGCACGCCCCGTGTCGAGGGCCGGCTACGCCGTGCTCCTCACTCCTCCTCGCTACGTCCCGCCACCGCACCCCTCCAGACCTTGCACTTGGACGTCTGGGGCCCAGCCCCCGTCCCTAGATCGCGTCGCGAGCACTACTTTCTAGTGCTCGTTGACGACTACACGCGCTACACCACGGTGTTTCCCTTAGAGCAGAAGGCCGACGTGCCCAACGTTCTTATCCCGTGGGTCATAGCTGCGCGCCTCCAACGCGGTCTCCCTGTGCTGTGTCTCCACTCCGACCGTGGCGGCGAGTTCGCCTCTGGTCGGCTTGGACAGTTCAGTCGTGCGGAGGGCATCACCTAGTCATACACCTTACTAGACTCCCCGCAGCACAATGGGGTCGCTGAGCGATGCATTGGCTTGGTCATGGAGATGGCTCATACCTCCATGATTGATGCCAGTGCACCGCAGTTTCTGTGTCCATTCACCGTTCGCTACGCCGCTCACTAGCTTAACCTGTGGCCATGCTCCTAGTGGCTGCAGGGTTCGCCGACCCTTCTTTGGACCGGGTTCCCTGGTGATGCGTCCGCGTTCCACGTCTGGGGCTGCCTCCCTCACGTTCGTGCCTCTGGCATGGACAAGCTCACTGCCCGCACTGTCCCCTGTGTCTTCCTCAGTTTCCCCCTGGACTCGTCTGCCTTGCACATCTACCACCCGCCGTCTCACCGCATTTTTCACTCCCGTGACACCACCTTCGAAAAGTCTGTCTCCTTTTTCCACCGCTTTCCCCACCAAGGTCTCCTAGCTTCCCCTCCCCTGTTTCTGGTTCCCACTCCCCTGGTAGCCCTTGCTCACCTTCCTCCCCGTCCTGCTCCATCTTGTGTGTCTCACGTCACTCCCCTTGCGGTCGAGGAGTCGGCTGACTCTGGTGGCCCTGCGGCGCAGTTCTCGCCTCCTGTCCCTCCCCCGGTGTCCCCTCCTCTGCCGTCGCAGTCATCGCCGCCGCAGCAACCGTCGCTGCCGCCGCAACCGTCGCTGCCCCCGCAACCACCGCAGTCGCCGCAGCAGTCCACGCCGTCCTAGCAGCATCAGCCGTTCGTGGACTTTGGGGGTGCTGGCGTTAAGGAGGGTGCTAGTCCTGGGGTCCCTGTTGCGGCTTGTGCCGGCGTGCTCGGGGGGGCACCGGTGCTGGAGAGGGTTCTTGCTCCGGGGGTCTCACTCTGGGGGTGGTGTAGTGGAGTGTTCCAGAGGTAGTTGCAGTGCAGCTGGCGGTCCAGGTGTCGGCGTCGTACAGCAGCAGCAGCAGTCGCCGTCGGTGTTCGTCCTTCACCTGCTCGGCCTTCCGTACCCCGACTGCTCGCATGTGCCCCACCCACCGCCTCCTCCCCTTCCTGTCCTTGGTCCTGTGTTTCCTCCGCCGGACTCGTCCCTGGCCCGGTTCCCCCCTCGTTCCCCTCCTGTTACTCCTCCTCTGTCACCTGAACCGACGCCTCCGTCTCACGTCTGGTCTCGCCGTCCCTCTCGGGCTCGTCCTGTCTCTCCTGTTTCGCGTTCTTACCCTATGTTGCTTCGTTCCCACATGTCTCGTCCTCCCCTCCTGCCTTCCCCTCCTCCGTCGTCGCTCGCTGTCGCGCCTCCCCCTGTGTCTGACTACCTTCGTGGTGCTCGTCCTTTTGTTCCTCGGGTCCTAGCCTCCTTCATTACCGACCCGTCTCTTCCTGTCTCCAGTCTTGACGCTCTTGTCGCTGCTATCGCTGACTTTGCCTCCACCCACCGCCTTGACTACACCTTTGCTCTGATCCTGTCCGTCCTCTGTCCGTCGGGGGTGCTCCTGCCCTTAGCAGTGACGTTCTAGAGGACAGGCAGTACGAGCTTGCTTTCCTGTCCGAGGCTGCCCCCCATCTCTGTTCCATGCTGCTAGTCCCTGAGAGTGACCCAGACGCCTTTGACATCCCAACCCGTCACACTTACGCTGAGGCGACTTCGGGACCCTGGGCCTCTCAGTGGATAGCTGCCATGGAGCAGGAGATGGCATCTTGGAGATCCACCGGCACCTACGTCGACGTAGTTCCCCCACCTGGGGTGAACGTAGTCGACGGCTGATGGCTCTTCAAGTTGAAGCGCCCCCCTGGAGAGCCGCCTGTGTTCAAGGCACGCTACGTGGCTAGAGGCTTCAGTCAGCAAGAGGGGGTGGACTTCTTTCAGACCTTCGCCCCGGCCCCGAAAATAACTACTCTTCAGGCACTGCTACACCTAGCAGCACAGCGTGACTACGAGCTCCACTCCCTAGACTTCTCCAGTGCTTTTCTTCAGGGCAGCCTACACGAGCAGGTCTACCTATGCCGACCGCAGGGCTTCACTGGTACCTTCCCTCCTCGGACCCAGTGGCTCCTCCGGCGCCCGGTTGACGGCCTACAACCGGTGCCCTGTGAGTGGCACGACACGTTGCGTGCTACGCTAGGTGACCTGTAGTTCTTGGCGTCCTCTGCTGACCTTTGCTCTTCGTTCGTGCGGGCCAGACCCCGTTCTACGTCCTTGTCTACATAGACGACCTGGTCTTCGCTACTGCAGACAGAGACGCGCTGGCCTCCGTGAAGTCTGAGCTGATGAGGAAACACATATGCACTAACCTTGGAGAGCTGCGCCGCTACCTTGGCCTGCAGATCTCCAGGGACAGAGCAGCGCGCACTATCACTCTCACACAGTCACACTTGGTGCTCCAGGTCCTTCAGAGGTTCGGTCTTCAGTTCTCCTCCGCACAGCCCACACCTATGCTAGTAGACCACAGGCTCTCGGCTTTAGTTCCTGATGAGTCAGTAGAGCCCAGTGGTCCTTACGCAGAGCTGGTGGGTTGCCTCATGTACCTGATGACTTGCACTCGTCCAGATCTCACATACCCTCTTAGCATCCTAGCTCGCTTTGTGGCCACAGGCAGACACCGACGACAGTACTGGTCGGCTGCCAAGAGGGTTTTGCGTTATCGAGCAAGTACATCGGGCTTGGGGCTAGTGCTAGGAGGACGCAGACGCTTCTTGGGGAGACGACGCTGAGACCCTCAGGTCCTCCCAGGGCTACTGCTTTAGCCTTGGTTCGGGTGTCATCTCGTGGAGGTCCTCTCACTCCTCGTCTGTTGTCCAGTCTAGCTGTGAGGCTGAGATCTACGCCGGTGCCATGGCGACACAGGAGCTTCGCTGGCTGACGTTCTTGCTCACCGACCTAGGTGAGCGGCCTAGCTCTGCCCCGGTCCTGTACACTGACAACGGGGCCATGATCCTCCTGTGTCAGGAGCCACAACTTGAGGGCAGAGCGAAGCATATCCAGCTGCGGTACTTCCTCCTGCGTGAGCTACAGTAGCGCCGCCTGGCCCGCGTCGTACACTTGGCCTCCGGTGCCAACACTGCTGATATCTTTAGTAAAGCGCTTGCGCCTAAAGATCATCATCGGCACTGCTTGCAGCTTTGTCTAGTTCCTGTAGACTCTCTCTTGCTAGGACCTTGATTGTGTACTCCTCTTTATATATATCTTTCAGACTTGCCTTGTGGCTCCACTTCTAGTGGCCAGACTAGTAGTGTCACCCTAGTTTGCTTCTGTCTTGTTTGTATTCTTGTTGACTAGTCTTCGGACCCCTGTCTCAGAGGTTGGACTAGTAGTGCCACTCTGTGCTGTGTGCTTCTTGCTCAGCACTACCCCTTATCTAGCCTAGGGGGTGTGTCAACTTATACATACATTTGCATGGAGAAATTATAGGCTAGAATATGTGTATGTTCTTAGAGAGTACAACCCAATCCTATATCTTGCTTGTTCTCTCTTGTTTCTTATCATTCTAGTATTCTAAGATACAGACCACTCGAAAAATGAGTGGCATAATTTTCTATACAATGGAATGGCAAAAGTATCTTGAAGTAGGAATATTATTCAATTTACCCAAAATATTGACACTTTGAGAAAGTATGGCCTGCTCCCAGCAGAATATTCGTATTGGTATTCCCAATTCCGTCCGAAGTGGCAGATAAGCGACTGGCTAGGAATATTCCACCAGTAGCAGCAAGGGATACAGGTGCTTGTGGAGTGAGTGTACATTCTAAACAAATCAGCGAGGTTTGTTGAGGCAGGGTGAGGCCCACCACAGATGAAGCACACGTGACACGTCAGCTTGGGTGACCATCGGTGCATGCCTACCACGAGACATCCTGCTTTGTGTCACCCTGTGCTTTACTCCCCGCTCATGCGGGGAAGTGATGCGCCCCACCTCCACGCCGAATTTGAGGGCCCCCAACCCGTTGGATCCCGCTGCGCTTTTTTCCCCTTCCCGCGCCCCCCCCGTCTGCACCCCGCCGCTCTCACTCCCCAACCAGCGATCCGCAAGCTAAGCTCGTCGCTGCGAGGCTGAGTTTGTTCGACAATAGCCTTGGCTTGCCGACTGCTGTGGAGGGACAGAAATGGGCATAACCTGTCGTGCTACCCATCTCCTCCTAAGAGCTAATCCACTCGCGGCGCACATCTGAGCTCCCTGGAGGCATTCATCGAATTGGCGAGCTGAGGCCGGTGTCGCGCCCGTCGCTCATTCCCCGACTGCAGGTCGGCCACCACTCACCCTTACTCTCGTCGCGCTGCCTGACGTCGGTTGGTCGCTCATGTGCTGGACTTGTCGAATTCTTAACGGAGGGAGGTCGTTTACTGGTCGCCGGTGCGCCGATGCGTCGCTGCCGCGTACCGGGATCGCCACCATCGCCTTCCCTGCGCCGCGCGAGTCCCTCACTCACAGCGTGCCGTCATGTGCTCGGTGCCATGAGCTTCGTATTCGTGCTCTCTTTGCCACCCCAACCACTTGTTTCCACTCTGCTGCTTTGTGCGCACCACTGCCGCGCGATTCACCTTGATTTCCTCCACTAGCCCGCTGCGCCGTCAGCACTGCGACTGCCCATGACGTGCCGCCGTGTGCCCCCCCCTTCCCCCTCTCTGCGTGCGTAGGACTGCGCGGATGTTCGCATGGCCGCCATGCTGTCGTCCGCGCGCCCGCTGTCGGCACCGGCAGTGTCGTCGCAGTGCACAGCCGCCGTGCAGCCGAGCCCTCCGACGCGCCACGCAAGGCCGGTGCTTTTCCACCTGCACCGCTCCGTCGCTGTAGGCCCCACGCCCCTGCGCGCTGTTCCCTCCGCCCTCCCGTCCGCGCCGCTTGGGCCCCCAGCCCCTGCCCACGCGCGCGTCACGGCTGCAGCTTCTGCCGCGGGAAGTCCGTCGGGCCCGGCAGGGCTGCCGTTCCGCAAGAAAAGCGGCGGCGGCAGCAACAGCGGCGGAAGGGCCCCTGGTGGACCCGCGCCCCCCCAGTCGGCGTCGCAGGCGCCGTCGGCGAGCGCGCTGGGGTACCACCCGCTGGAGCACGTGCCGGCGGAGGAGCAGGACGGCAGAGGGCGCGCGGGGACAGGCAAGGACGGCCGGCGCTGTGGCGGGGCGCAGCTGTCGCCCGCGGAGGTGGCGCGCACAGTGGCGGAGGTGAGGGTGTGGGCACAGTGGGAGGGCGGGAGGGAGGGAGGGGCACTGATACGGGGCTGGCGTGTGCGGTGTCCGTGTGCCTCACTGCGGCCCGATGTGCCTGTATCGGCTGCCCGATGCCTAAGTGCGCTCGATGGTTTTGTCACAGCGACATTTTCCGCTAAGGGCGCCGTTCCTTGCGCCACAAGCTTTCCTGTTGGCGTGCCTCCTGCTGTTCCCCCCCGCCCCCCCGCGCGGCCGTCAGGTGAACGTGCAGGCCATCGTCTTCGCCGCCCTAACCGAGGGGTCGGCGGGCGTGCTGGCGGCCGACGCGCGCTTCGTCGTGGACCACAACGGAGGTACGCCGGGCCGCGCTCGCCGTGGCGCTGGGGGTTGGGGGAGCG